ATATCCTGAACTTTTGTTTGAGATACATGAAAACATTTCTAATCTTGTATAACCTGTCACTTCTGTCAGGTCAGGTTTTGTCAGAGAAGTGCAAACATACGTAACAGTAAGATAAACCTGTTCACTGGTATTTCACTGAAGACCGGGGTAGAAATTAGCCGATCTGTGGACCAGTATGCTTTTATATTATGCTTATAGACGTGAGGCATAAGCATTATTGTTGCAAAAAGCAAATACATTTCTGCAACAGTCGTCTCTTTCCACCTGTGTAGTCTTGACTGTGGTGATAAGATCGTATTTGCCATGGTGTACTGAAAATACTTATTACTTTCCCTGGCAATAATTTCCATCAATGGCTGGTCAAAGAATAATTCAAAGAATTCCAGTTCATTGGCCGTGGTTCCAAGGGGACAGGTAGGTAGAATTCCACTTTGAGAGTCATCAAAGTGGTGAGGCTTGGGAACAAAATTGGGATTTTGCTGCCAATCCCACATACGGTTTTCTGGTGGATACTGGACATCATAGGCTGGTTGTACGGGTGGTTGTGGTTGTGGTGGGCTGATGGCTGACGCTCCGCTTTGTCCTTGAACTGACGAGTCAGCAGCGTGGGTCCCCGCGTGGCACGGTGAGTCACGCATGGCGGTGCCACTACCACCACCAGCACCACTAACACCATCCACTGATGCCTGTGGCTCATCCATGCCAAGTGTAGCCACATCATCCTCACTATCACTACCTAAAAAGGGTGTAGGGCCATGGAATGTACTCCGGGATGTACTCCGTCCCCTGGGCACAGCATAGGGTACACTACCCGAGCGCATGCGGCGGCGAACATACAGACGCTTCACTGGTGAATATGATTCCTCACTATCACTACTCGAATGATCATCGAGCACAATAAAATCACAATCCACGTCAGAATCATCGTCATTACTGAAGTCAGAGGCCTGGCCACGCGAAAATATTAGTTTTCTCTTACGTTTAGGAACACCCGACCGTGAGTCACGAGTGCCCACACCAGAGGTAGAAGGTCGAGGATCGTCGGGGTTTTCTGCACTATTATCGATATCCTGGTCATTATTTTCGGTCACTAACTTATCAAAGCCGTAGAATTCGTCTTCATTTCCACTTCCATCAGTGTCAGAACTATCAGACAGGAAGAGGAGAGTCCCAATTTTCCGGGGAGTGAGAGCTGACTTGCGACGAGGCATGGTGAACAAGGGTGACTGAGCCGGCATTCCCACAATGCTATGCAGGCGCCTAGATTTTTTGTTTACGGCACACACCCACGGCGCAGACCCATTCTCTCACATGTAGGCCTATGAGTGCTTTTGCGCTAAATTTGACAGCGCTAGAATTTTGGCATAGATCTACGGTTTGGACACTCACCGTAAAGCCGTAGATCTACGGGACAGACCCTGAAAGGGTTAAGTATCTACCGCTGAGGAAACCTAAAAGATCAAATATAGAAAGAGTGTAGAAGAATGGACAGAAGAAGAAAGGGTTACCGAACTGCTTAAAAACATGAATGTCACAACAGAGGAAAGAATATCTTAGAATTTTAGACTAGAGGTTACCGAGATAGAACAGAAACTTAAAATTTTCATACCAGACAAAAGAAGCACAAAAGGAACAAAAAGCTGTCCAAGATGTTGCAAAGAAATCCCAAATATTTCCACACATGCAAAATCCAAATTAAGACCTACGTGTAGAATTGGACTATTAATCACTGGAGGTTTGTACATTGATAAAGAAAAAGAAATAGTGAGATTCTAAAAGTCTAAGTATGAATCAGTATTCAGCAATCCACTAAACCAAAGTAGGGGTGGAGAATGCATTATCTTCATTACTTCGGAAAGCCATTGTTAGGAGCCTCTATGGAAAGAATAATTTGGCACTATTTATCTGTATAATGTATGTGTATGTATATGTAATATGCAATAATTTATATATTTATATTTGATCCAAGTTGCATTTTACATATGAAAGCTGGGATGTAAATTGCCAAGTATAAAATATATATTCTATTGCACTTGTTAAAATGTTCACTACATGTTCATTTTGCTTTGATTCCAATGGATCCAAGACCTTGTCATAATGATCCAGCATTTGTGAAAGGCAGGAGAGGCCTGTATTAAACCCACACTGCTCTGATTTGTGTTGTTGTTAATGAGTAGAAATCTTACTTCTTAAGACCCTTTCAAAAAATTTTATGTGACAAAGCATTCTGCAATTGCTTTATTGCCATCTTTGTGAAGTGGGGCCTTACTGATGTTTTTTAAGGACTGGGACAACATGTGCATCTTGGCTGCTACTCTTTAGAATATATAAGGTGCAGGATAATGGTTTCTCAGAGTTCTTGATGAATATTGAGTTCCACAAGGCTGAGTCTGAGACAAAGTAAACCATACCACCGATGGGGTTTGAATCCACGGTAAGAGTGTCTCAAAACTCCAGACCGTCGCGTTAGCCACTGGGCCAGCTAGCTTCAATAAAATTCATCCAACTAGGTATATTTCTACACCATAGTACAGTTAGCATAGGCACCACTGTATCCACAAATGCAAGTTTTTACACATGTCCTTGATCACTGAAGTTAAGTTTAATATGTTTATTATGTACCCCATACCCATCCTGTGGGCGGTAGTCAAAAGATTACAGAGGTACATAATTGGTCCAGGAACTGGGCTCCAAAGTTTTGATAGCTGAGCAAGTTACAAAGGTAATGAACTAGATCTGGTCACAATCATGACCAAGTACAAAGGTAATGAGCTCCAGGTAGAGCTGGTCACACTCACGACTAATTACAAAGGTAATGAACTAAATCTGGTTACAATAATGAGAATTAACAAAGGTAATGAGCTCCAGGTAGAGCTGGTCACAATCATGGCAAGTTTCAAAGGTAATGAATCGTGAACACATGATTACAGTCATGAACAATTTTCAGAGTAATGATCAGTTAACATTGTAGGGAATTCATCCATTGTCAGCAGACATTGCTAGGTGCCTGTCCCTCCTCGGCAGGACAGCCAGACAGCCATTGCAAACAGCAGCAAGTTGCGCCAGGAACTGCTGCTTGCAGGAGCACCATCGACCCTCCCCAAGAGGTCCAAGAGGCCAGCGACTCTGCTAGCAGCCCAAGGGAGAGCCGCCCTGGGGACGTGTCAACGTCCTGGTGGATGCCAAGTTGACTGACGATCCCCGGCCCTTTGTAAAGGTGAAGGCGCGGCAGCTGTCGCCTACTTCTGCTGGGAGGGGCTGTTGGATGTTTCCACCTGGAGCCCTCCGGGTGCCCAGACACCCACCGTGTACACATATGTTGAAGCTTGAGGAACTGAGTGCACACTGCCTGTGGCACACCTGACAGCTGCCTTGCAGTCGAACTCCACGGTGCTGTCCATACAGTGGCATCCCTGACGTGGGCTGAGAGGGGAAAGTATCCTCTACAGTTGTGGTGGCACTGGGAGTTGGGTGGGTGAGGCGGGAGAGTTGAATGGTTGAGGTGGGAGGGTGAGCGGTTATGAGAGGGTCATTGTTTACTACACGTGGGGCAAGGCCTGGGGAGGGGGGTGAGGGGCACTTCCCTACACACTGATTGTGCATTGTTGTTCACACTGTCCTGCCTACAACAAACACAACATTAATTCGTTTCCCATGCACATCATGAAAGATATGGGCATGTGACTCGCCAAAGCCAACAATGTTTGCGTCATCTTCACCCACACACCCGGCCCCCTCCCCTCCCCCTCCCCCCGGCAGAATGGGGGGAGGCACTGCCTGGTCCCAACCTGGGCACTCCCCACACCCAACTCACAAACTGCACAACACTTCCACAATTTACACTGAAACGATGCACTGGCATGTCCTCTCACTGCTCTGGAATCTTCTCAAGGCATTCACACAGAGTCCTGCTCAGTCATGCCCTGGTCAGCCCCTTGGACCAGGAGCTATCCTTGAAAATCTCGCAGCTAGCCCGCCATACGTACTGAAGAAGGCATATTCTCCCCTCTCTCTTCCCCATCCTCTGAAGCAATTTCCTCAGCTGTGATCTGTTGCTGTTCCAGCTGAAGGTGTTGCAGCTCTTCAGTGGTTAGCTCTTCCCTATGGTTGTCCACCAACTCTTCCACATCCTGGCCACTCACATCCAACCCCATGGACTCACCCAAAGCCACAATAGATTCCACAACAAGCATAGGGGTGTCAGTCAGCCTCAAACCCTTCAAAATCCTTCTCTTCTTGAACTCTGTTGTGTTTCTCGCCTTCTTTATCAAAAGGCTCGCACTCGGAACTTTCTTTGGCCCCATGGTGGCTTATTTAGCAGTCACACTCAATAAATAAGCACTAAAAACAATGGATTATTAAGAAATATTTCGCATGAACGCGCAGGGTAATGTTCACTCGACGAGAAACAAAGGCAGACTGACTCAGAACCCGTGCGTGGAACGCTTTGTGTAGGCAGGCAGGTGGACATGTTCGTTCGGTATGATGGACGAAAACCGAGGTGATTGAAAATTGGGACAAAATTTTGACAGTCATCAAAAACTGAATTCGACGAAAACCAGGGGAAACGAAAATAGAGGTTCCACTGTATACTAGTATTGTTATAATTGCTGACAACATACTAGACTGTACTTTAAGAGTCATAAAGATATAAATTGTGCCTTCAGCACTATACTACTACAAGAGAAGTGTAGGAGCTTGTATCCTAATTTATATCAAATTGATTTATGTACTTTGATTTTTGTCCACCTAAACAACTTTGTGAATAAACATCTCAATTTTTATTTATTTAGTTAGTATCCTATTAGTCGCAATTCTAAAGCAATATTAAAACTTATTGTAATTCTAAAGGATAACTGGACCAGTATACTGACTACTTGTTACAAAAACCCAGAAACAGGCTGAATGCTAGAGGGGCAGATCTTCTAGTATTCTCTGGAGATGTCTATAATTTATAGATATTGCATTTTTTGTAACAATTTCACAAGTAACAATGAATGCTTACTTCTCAGGTTTGGCAGGAATGTGTGCGAAGACCACAGTGGCGCCTCTGGACCGTATTAAGATACTTCTACAAGCACATAACAAACACTACAAAAATGATGGTGAGTTATGTTTCTACTCATCTCTAGGTATGGCTCTGTTATATTCATTAATCAAATACTGTATTACACAATGAGGTTTTTATCATTAAACCCTTCATGGGGGTGGCTTGAGGCCAGTGAAGGGCTCTCGATCCAAGGAATTGGAGCTACCCTTTCATTATCTGATTACCTTCCATTCTCCAGGCACTATCTTTATGGATTTATCACTTATGAATATACACTGCAATAAAAGCGATTTATGATAGTCCATTTTGCTTTGATAATATTGTGAACAAAATCAGATGGTAAAAATTTGTTAAACAGGTGAGAAATACTACAGGAAGGCCCCACTTTACGGCATTTCACTAAAACCGCAGTTTTCAGTTACATGTATATGTATACCCATTCACCATTTTAGACTTCCTACAGTAAATATATATATTCCAAACCTAGTCAGAGAATTAACTTTGGCACTTGAGGTATGGTAAGACACATATGCAACAGTTAGACAACTTTATTCCGAAACGTTTCGCCTATACAGTATACGCCTATACGTTTCGGAATAAAGTTGTCTAACTGTTGCATATGTGTCTTACCTAACAACCTGTCGGTATTGTATACCATTTTGATGTTCACTTGAGGTATGCTCAAGGTGTACATTCCTTTAAGAAAAAAGATGTAAACTAGAAAGAGAGACTTCTTATACAGGCAAAGGCAAAGAATCAGAGCTGCTGAAAGGGGTCTGTATATTTGAAGTACGAAGGAGGCACTGGTCAGAAAAATGACAAATATTGAACTTAAGCTTAAGGAACCATTCAGGAGACAAGGAATACAGCATTTAGTGAGCCTTAACCAGACTAAGAGTAGACAGCCTAAGACTCAAAATTTGGTTAATTCAATAATCTATTATCCTAAAACCACAAGACTTTGAAAAAACAATAAATGGCATGTCCATGCACTCTGCCCTAGGCCCAGACTTGTGGAACTCCATGTTCATCAGTCATTAAAAACAACACATAGCCCCACTCCACAAAGGTGGCAGTAAAGCAATTGCAAAGAATTACAGGCTGATTAGCACTAACGTCCCACATTGTAAAAATCTTTGAAAGGGGTTCTAAGAAGCATGATTGCCACCCACTTAGATACCCATTAGTTGTACAACCCAGGGCAGCATGGGTTTAGAGCAGGTTGCTCCTGCCAGTCCCAACTACTGGACCACTCTGACATGGTCTTGGTTGCTCTGGAGGACAAACAAAATGTGAAAGCCTTCAACAAGTGCAATCGTGGTGTAACAGTGCACAAAATGTGTGATTAAGGAATAACAGGAAAAGTTGGTGGATGGATCTATAACTTCCTAACAAATAGAACACAGAGTAATAGTAAACAGTAAAGTCAGAGGCAGCTACAGTGAAAAGCTCTCTTCCATTAGGTACAGTACTCACTCCCATCCTATTCCTTATTCTCATATCTGATGCAGACAGATTTAAGCCACAGCACTGTCTTTCTTTGTGGATGACACCCAAACTTGCATGACTGTCATCCATTGAAGACACTGCAAGTCTCTCAGTGGACATTGACCAAATCTTTACATGGGCTGCAGAAAACAATGTGAAGTTCAATGAAGGCAAATTTTAATTACTCCACTAGGCAAAATTTGAGGAAATTAAAACTGTATTGGAGTATAAAACAAATTCCAACCACACAATAGTGAAAAACTAATGTGAAGGACCTGAGAGTAATAATGTCAGACGATCTCACTTTCAAAGATCACATCAATGTATCTACCACATCTGCTAGGGAAATGGTGTTGAGGGCGGCAAGATTAGGGTGAGAGATGACATAAGTCGTGTCATCAGCAAAGAGAATGGGTTTCAGGTGTTGGGATATGTTTGGAAGATCATTGATGTATATGAGGAAGAGCAGGGGACCAAGGACACTTCCCTGCGGAACTCCAGTATCAAGTGGCCGTGTTGATGCTGTGTCTTTAATGGTGACATACTGATACCTATTAGTAAGGCAAGATTTGAAATATGCAAGCACATGGCCTCTTATACCATAATGGTCAAGTTTGTAGAGTAGGATGCCGTGGTCTACTGTGTCAAAAGCTTTTCTTAGGTCAATAAAAATTCCTAGTGGATATTCCTTATTTTCCAATGCTGTGTAAAGCAGATCTAGCATTTTTATAATTGCATCATTAGTGCTTTTATTTTTTCTGAATCCAAATTGGCAGGGGTTGAGTATGTTTTGTGCCATTATAAATGAATATAGTCTCCTGTGCATGAGTTTCTCAAAGATTTTGGATAGCAATGGTAAGTTTGATATTGGCCTATAGTTGTTTAAATCTGTAGGGTCACCACCTATATGTATTGGTGTAACCCTTGCTGTCTTGAGTAGTTTCAGGAAGGTGCTAGTTTCTAGTGACTTGTTAAAAAGTATTAGTATTTTATAAACACAGTGAACATCTCCCTAGGAAAATCAACCAAAATCAACAATTTCTTGCCAATTTGAGGCCAAAACTGGTCATAAACTAACCTAAAACTTGTCCAGTTCTCTAACCTGTCTTCATCCTTATCTATTGGCACCAAGACACAGCCAATAAATCCCTGAAAACTGACCCAGAAAATGCCCCAAAATCTATTTTTATCTAAAGACAGGATCAGAGGTCAGCTGTTCCCCTCATGCTCTGTGTTGAGCAGGAATTTTTGTATACAAAACACACTGCATAGAACCATTCTATGTTCATGCATAAATTTACCGCTTTTGGCATATTTGAGGGAGCTGTGACTTATGCATGATGATAATGATTGATTCATTATCATTATCATCATCAGCATTGTCATCATTATCATTGATATGAACTTTTTTTTTTCTTTAATTAGCATTAAGCCTAGTCTAAGTTTGCCTGAAATGCTGTGTGTATTATGAACTTTTAACAAATTGTACTGTTATGTACAATTTTTTCAAAAAAAGAATTTTGTCCATGATTTGACTTTGTTCCTGAATACATATAAAGAAAAATTTAAGTGGAAAGCACAGATTAATAAATAATGTACATATAAAGAGAATAAACAAAATTTTATTTTCAGGAGTATTGAGTGGCTTACGAAATATTGTGGCTCGGGAGAGCGTTTGGGCCCTATACAAGGGTAATGGTGCACAAATGGTCCGAATCTTTCCCTATGCTTCAACACAGTTCACATCATTTGAGTTATACAAAAAG